AGAGCCACCCGGCGGGGTTCCGGATCCAACAAGGGCTACTTGCCTGCCTGCCATATTAGTATGTTGTGGTCTTTGGGAATTGTGCGCGAACCAAAATGGTCAATTAGAAGAGCTAAGACAGAAGAAATCGATACGGATATGCGGGTCAAATACTAATATGATTCCTACTGAGCTGGCAGTATGTTCGGAACTAGGATCAGATTCTGACCAGCGTAGTGTGACCGACAAGAAAATCTCCGCGTTTGCAGTGTGTAGCAAAGAACATGCAAGTAATCTTAGCATGAAGGAATATTAACCTAGCGACGCTGTCGCTGTTTCTTCGTTTTCCTGCATATTTCGCAGTTAGCCTGTGGAGGAGCTGAGTAAATAGCAGTTAGAGTAGAAGGTAAACCCGTCTTGTCTGGATTTCTTGTGTGCTAAAGTTGAACTACAGAAAACGCCCTTGTTACTTGCAGGTACAAGTCTCTAACTTTGGACAATTCATGAAGAAACAATTGGCCTCTCCACTGACCAGTGATCAGCTTTTACAACTTGTATCCACGGCCAGAATTCTCAATGAGACAGGTACACCTAATATATACAAAAGTTTCATTCCGTAGTCGACTCTTCGGTGGTTTACACCCTTGTTCAACAACTCAGAAAAAAGGATAGTAGTGCTTTGAAGTAAGTCTTTTTTTCTGTTCTTCGTTAGATGTGTTTTCTTTGGCAGTCAACGTTTGTTGATTAAGATTTTTTCGTTTGTCTTAGTTCTCTAATTATTCATGGTCGTAATGTTACGTATTCATTTTGAGAGGATCATCCAAAAATGAAACAGGCCTTTGAGCTTTTTGATCGTTGAGATACTTGCTCGACTTCAAAGCCTACCCTTCTCTCGCTTTCTTTTCAGCCTTGCCAACCTACTACAAATCGTATCGTCTCTGAAGCTGGAGAAATCGAAGTTCGAAACCGTCCTTCCCGATGTGAAGGCTCTGCTTGACCAGGCCGATGAGGCCGACGGTATTTATTTATATGTATGTTTGCTTTAAAAAATCAGTTAAGCAGTCTTATATTGCTGTTAGTTTGAAGCCAATTACTTCAATGCCTACCGCAGGTGCCAGCGACTCTTACTCAAGATTACTGTCTGCTTCTTGCTTATTTTTTTCAAGGAAAGACGTTCTTTGGCAAATAACTTTCGCTGCACATTTTCTCAAGTCAGACGACGAAATTTACTGAATAAAGTTACCTTTTTTCCCAAAAAGCGTCTTTCCTTGAAATTAAATTTCTTGGGATGCCTGCCTTTCAATTTATACGAAAGTATTGCATTTACTAAGTGTACTATTAACTGCATTTTTATGATTGACAAAATTGCTCTTCGTGCGTTCTTCAGTACGATAAAGGCGTCTACACCACCGCATTGGCCATTGACAGCATTTTCAAAGTGGCCGCGGCCGTCGGGAAGGCCCCAGTCATATCCGAGGTAATCTAAACTATTCCTTTTTTCAATATTTCACACGTTCATCTATAGTATTCTTATTTTACGTAAAGTTTGGCTCGATAAGTACAGTTAACACTATTTTCCACTTTCTCTAAGCCCGATGACGTGTAGTCGATGTTGAATTTTTGTATATACGAATTCAGACAAACAATTTTACATTTGCTTATCAATTATTGTCTGGATTAGAATGTATCTTAAATACGTCTGATCCATTCTCGCACTTTACCGTCTGTATCAACACATCGAAAGCCGAAATAACTTGTTTTCCAACGAGTTTAACATTTAACAAAAACAGTCAGCTTACATTTTGGCGTCTTATATCCGTTTATGTTCTAGTTCTTTACAGTGCAAGTGCTCATCCTATCTATTGTATATTCTTGTCTCGTTTCTTTAGCAACAAGTCATTAAGTTCGCCAACTTCCTGTACTCAAAGAGACGAACACAGCAGCCGCGAGCTGCTGCCTTCCTCCTCGTCGCTATGCGTACTTTGAGTTCAAATGCTTTCATGGTGAGTTCTGGTTTAATTGTTGCCGCTATTTTATGTGTTTTGGGTTTAGTGAGTCAGACCTTGTGTTCCGTCAGTCGCTGCTGCGCCCATTTTCTTCTCTAGTTTGTTTAATTCGGATGGAGGAGAAAATGAGGGTCGTTAAAATAGAACCAAAGTACGTTTGTCTTGTCTTCAAAGGCTACCAATTGACGAGGAAGTTTCTTTCTACTCGGGTCGAGCTGGAGTGACTCTTTACTTAACTCTCACCCCCTATATATTGTGCCCGCAAAGTTTCCTGTCTATGAACTAACTCGACCTGGTTAAAAACGCAGAAGTTAACTCTTCTGTGTATGTGTCTGGGCTGACTGAGCCGTATGTGGTCCACACTTCAGAGAGGCTTAAAACACTTGTTTTCAGAAGCTAACCTCCACCTGAAAACAGAACAAGATGATCAGAAAGGCCTTATCCGCCCATATACTTACGATTGCAGTTTCTGCATCGAAATCCCAATCATTCAACCAGCAGGGTAGCTTACGGCCTTTTCTAGTTAGAGTTATGCAAATACAGTGGTCAACCTGTTCGTAGGAATTCATCCACTTAAGTCCGTCTGCGAGTGACCAAGTTCTACCCTACTTTCATTGGGTGTCCTCTCCATTGACGGTCAAGTTTTCTCCCCCGCCCTCCTCAGGTGCCAATAGTCGTTACAGGCGCCTCTGCACATGAGCGTGCTGCAGTCTCTGGCCTCACGATCTCGTCCAAGCGTCAGGTATCTCTTCGACTCGCCAACCTTCTTGGCGAGACGCAGCTCACTGATGCCAAGAAAATTGACCTCACGGCCGCCGGTCTCCATCGCCTGCCCAGTTCAGCTTCTACGGACTCTACTTTACTTGGTCCGGCCAGCCGTGGAGCTTTTAAAGCATCAACCGAGTATGTTTGTTTTTAAAACCCTTTCCTTTTTTCGAATTTCTTTCACGCATTCTGGAACTCGCGGTGACATTGTATATCTTCATTTTAAGTGGCCTTTTCACATTGGACCTGACCACAAA